GGTGGTTGGGTGGGAGAATTTGATTAGTTAGAAGGACTTAATAGCAATTTTATAAACTGTAGTATATTACAATTGAGTTCAATGTGTCAAATTTGTAAGTAACTAAAATGTAATTAGTATTTTATCACTGTATCTCCTTATATGTGGCCAATCTTCATAGGAATTATTTTTTCTTTATCAGTCAGGTTCTATACTTTTTCTATACGTTAGAAGTATGATAATATAATCTACTAATTTTGCAGCTAAACCATTTCATTATCCAGATGCATTACGAGTGAGAATCTCCCTACTCTGCGGGAAATCGTTTTTCTTTTCTCTCTTTTTTTGTGTACTTTTTCTTATTTTCCATTTTCATTTGAAGTTTTTCTTATTGGCCACATACAAGGAGATATAACTAAAATAATAATATTTTTTTACTAAAAATATATATAAAAAAATACATAGTTTGATCGTTCGGTTATTTCAGCTTTTGAAAAAAATCCGATACCCGAGTTGTTAAAAATAAAAATAAAAATAATAATAATAATCGAATCGAAGTATAAATTTGGAACCAAAAAATCTAAGTTGTTAGTTGTTCGATGTTGTGCATTCGGATAGTCCTTATAGCGTGATTCGTCTAACAATTTTATGCACTCCTAGCGCATACATTTTAATGATTTGTTTCAAAATAAATAAAACCTAATCTTAATAATTGGTTAACCTAATCTTAATATTTATTATTTATATTTAATATTGTATATTATTTATGGTTGAAAATTTATGACATAAAATACGAAAAGGATAATGTGCATTCATTCATATACAAATATGCATTTCTTCTAACATTGTTGTGCAGTCTATAGATATAGGTATGTTTAATGTGCATTTCATTTAAAATAAAAAATAAAAAATTAATGAGTATTTCAATCAAAATGATTATGCATTTATCAAATTTTTTTATATATTAATACTATATTTTTTATTTATTTTTTATTAATATATATATTATAAATTATTTAAAATAAATAATATATATATATAAATAAATATTATTTTTTATATTTTGAAATGCACAATAGCATACTGTTTTTTTTTATGTTGTTTTGTGTGTTTGTGTGTGTGTGTGTGTTTTTTTTTTTTTTTTTT